GACTGTACACCGATGAGCAAGAGCAGATCTGGGCTTTTAACATATCCGTGTCAACGTGCAGAACTGCTGTTTCTTTCGTGGTTTATGAATTCACTCATATTGTGCTTAATCGCAGAGCACCGCCGATTATAGGATACTTGCCTTTTGAAGTGCTGGGTACTTCTGGCTACGACTATTACCATATAGATGACCTAGAGCTGCTAGCAAGGTGCCATGAACACTGTAAGTATCGCATAGCCCAGGTTCCTCTGGAGTCACTGGGACACCTCTTTTCACTGAAATGTAGTTTCAGTTAAAATTGGTTTAAACTTGGAAGGTGAGGTTTGACCCTTGCCTCACGCCTGTATGTCTTAGCGGACTTATAGCAGATTGGGGGCACCGCAGCTGATCGGCATCTAGGCCAGACTTATCAAGCTCTGAAAAATACAATTTTACCTTCTAAATCCCCAGAAGCAGTTAGCAAGACTCACTGAATGGATAAAATACACCAGATTAGACACCTGCTCTACTAGTAAAGAATATACAAGAATAGTTCAAGCAATCTCAGAGGAGATCCTATTTTGTAAAATTCTGGCAGATTATTTACCCTAATGTTGTTCACCGTGTATTTGGGATTACCTGTGATTATTTAAATATAGTCTGTTAAGATTTAATTGAACAACTCTTTCACTAAGTAAAGAAAATGAGGCAATGCTTTTCAAATATTTGCTTACAGAACTGGCTGGAACATCTCAGCTTACCACCTCTGGGTGTCCTGAAAATATCCCGTCAACATTAGTTTTTAATGTTTAACAAGATAAATGTTGCCATTAAAATATAGAAAGGCTAAATATGTGCATATTTGGGAACCCCTTGAAATCGCTGGGGGAAAAAAGCAGAGATTAATTTTGTTGGTGAATTTTTAAAACCTTTAATACACCTCAGTTTACAGCACTTTGAATTCTTGTCAGTCTGGGAATTTTCTTTCAGTTTCAAATGATTTTTGTCTTTGCACGATGTTATCTCCTATAATCACTTCATTCTGCAGAGAATACACATCTTTTCAAGCATTTTTATCCTGTACTTTTCTGCTATAGAACTTAAGATGATCACTCTTAGAAATTAATCCCAGATGCCTAATTAAGCAGTATGTGATCAGCATATAAACCAGGCTAAGATCTACGTTTAAGTTGTAGCAGATGTTAATGCATTAGTGTCCAAAGTTAAGGTTGATTGTACCGTGTAGGAATGTACTGTTCAAAGCATCAGAAGAAGATACATACCGATCTTCATGATATTTGCTCTATCACACAACTGACAGGATGACTCACTCGAAAGGTGCTGAGACTCCTGTCTCCCTTGGGAATCAATGGGGCAACAGATATTTTTGTCACTCTTCACATTTCATGTCATTTTCACATCGGAAACTGTGCTACAAGCTGTGTGTATTTTCTGCTGACAGTGATGCAGTTTGGCAAGGGGAAGTCGTGCTGCTATCGGTTTCTGACCAAAGGACAGCAGTGGATCTGGCTCCAGACCCATTACTATATCACCTACCACCAGTGGAACTCCAAGCCAGAGTTCATTGTGTGCACACACATGGTGGTAAGGTATGGAAACTCCTGTCAACCAGCGGGGACATAAAGGACAGTAAGATAAAGGCATCCTCATGACTGCCAACGTTTTCTCTATAGAAACACGATGTCTTTTATGTAACAAAAATGAAGCCTGAACTCTCTGAAGGAAATATGTTCATTATAAAAAAATTATCAGCCTAAACCTTACTTTATGCTAAGCTTGATTTGTCAATCATGAGTTTAGGGGCAGATTAACTGTTGCATTTTTCCATTTTGTGCAAAAATAGGGAATAGACAGATCCCTTAACTATTCACTTCCTCTAATCCTTATGTTGCTTTTAAAGAGATGTGTGGAAGCTTTCCAGTGAAGTTATAAAGTGGTTGTAGGATGTGAACTTGACCTTTATATATACACTTCTGTAATATACTTTTTGACTTCAGGAAGACAGGAACAGCAAAAACTGAAAATTAAAACAGTCTCTCAAATGTCATTCAGTAGCATTTGACTTACTTAAGTGATTTTTCAGCTGTTCATTTAACCCGTAAAATGTCACAATAATTTGTTCCTCCACTTGCTTAAAGCACATTTTATGAAATATAACAATACCATGTTGATACATAGAATTATATTTTCCATTCAGTTATGCAGATGTTCGGGTGGAGAGGAGACAAGAGATGGGCTTGGAAGAAGTGTCCTCAGAGGTTGTGTCCTCAGCACTAAAGGTACAACGAGGAAAGCTTTTTTCATGAATATATGTAGTAATCACAACTTGTTCCTATGTTAACATCAGTGAAGACTCCAGCATTGTCTTTCTGGGTGGATTCCCCAAACTTCCAAATTCATTGCTCACTTCGATAACTTTAACGTAAATTGGATAAGCTCATGAAAGGATAAACCTGGAGATCAGTAACAGCCACAAATGAAGTGAAACATGGGCAGAGGCAATGTGAGAGATCTCCACTTTTCCTTGGTGAGGTACTACAGTTTAAAGATTCATTTGGACATGTTCTGGCAATCAGCCTTCTTGGCTACATCTCAGTGATCTGCTGAGGGAAGAAAGAAAAGCTCCTCCTCGGTGCACGGCTGAGTGTCTCAAAGAGGTTGCAGTTGCTGTCACATCCAACTGAACGCAAAAGAAAGATTCAGAAAAACATCTGAAGCCACAAAATGACTATGGCAGTAGTTTGCTATTTATTTCCAACTCAGTGATAGCTCTTCGTAAAATGCATTAGTCAGATGCTATTTGGAAGGGATATTGACACCTGTGCCCAGGTCTTCTGCTGGCCTACCTGGGATTAGTTCTGCTCAATTCATTTTAGGCCAGCCAAAGAACTGGGTGTGCAACCATTACCAGATGCATTTCAAAATGTTTTCACCCTGACAGATGCAATAGCTATTCCCTTTTTTTTTGTTTGTTTTAGGACAGTGGCGCCAGCTTGGATCCTGAACAGCACTTTAATGCACTTGATATTGGTGCCTCAATCCTCAGCGCTAGTCGGACACCCTCAGTATCATCCAGGAGCTCACCAAAATCTTCCCACACACCCAAGTCGGACCCAGCATGTGAGTGGCATTCCTGGGTTACTGCATTATTTTTAATTTAGCCAAGTTACAGAATGTGTGCCTATATACCACAGCTGCTAATTTAACAGTTATTTATGAGGTATTGATGATATGTCTTTGTCACTGACAATGAGCTGCATAATCTGAAATGGTAACGTGCAAGAGGGGAGGTTCTAGTGCAACCATCCATACACTGGAAAACGGGTAGCAGGACTAGCCATGAGGCCTGCTGTTTCGATCTGTTCTGAAAATGAGGACTTCTCTCTTCAGATTTGAAGGCATCAGTATAAGCAATACAAGGCCCCTCTAGACTTACATGAGCAATAACAGCCTGTGGGTGATTCTCTTCTGGCCAAGATTCAGGATGCTCCAGCCAAGACTTGGGCACACCTTATACACTCCTTCTGCTCCCTGGTCTGGAAGAAAAGCCAATGAGCTAACCTAAATTTATAGTTATTTGGCCCATACGAAGGGAGTTCCAGCTGTTTTAGAACAGCTCTTGGGTCCTTTTGCTCCATTCGTTGGAGCACAGAATCATAATCTGTCTCATTTACTTTTATCTTTGCCCAGGCCCTCCTTATCAGTTTAGTTTTACTGCCATTGAAGCCAACAAGAACAGCCTTGACTCCTGCTGGAATGTAGCCAGGCCGTAATCATTTCTAGCCAGGTCTCGTTGTAATTCCCACTTCAAACAGGGATGATTTCCAGCGTGTGAGAACTCACCGGTACTTTTCTTGCAGCTACACCAACAAAGCTGATTGCAGAGTCTAACACTCCCTTGCCAAGAACACCGAGCACGCAGCAGGATTTATCCGTGCATAGACTCAGTCAACCTACTGCTCTTCAGGTAACTTCACAAAGCGTCATCAAAATAGGCAGACAGTATAAAGCATGTGCCACATACGCAGCTTAGCAATTGAAAATGACTTACACAGAAGCCATGGCATTAGAAGAAACCTAAAATTTAAAGGAGCCAAACTTATAAATAAAGTTTTGTTGTTTTGTTTTTAACCCAGGTTTCTTTGCCTTCTCAACCTTCATGTGAGCTTCTCCCACAGCAGTTGCTGCCTCAAGCAACTCTGCAAAATCAGCCTGCAACTCTGGCACAGGTTAGTTGGGAATTTGGAAGCGCAATAGGTCACTTGCCTATCTCCTGATATTTTCTCCTTTTGGGGCTTTTAGGTTACCTCTTTAGTAGCTAAAATCCCCAAATCCACCAGCTCTCAAACGCTTAAAATATCGTGGGAAAGTAATCTGAATTGTACACTTGTGTGTTTAAACATGTATCTGCATACAGGCATTCAGAGCAGAAGCCCAGGTGCACCAAGCCCAGGTTCAGGTGCACACGCACATCTATTTCACCGGAGGACAAAAAACAGACAGAAAAAGAGTTTTCAACTTTGCTTCTACAGAATCAGGTCCCATCAAAGTCAAGGTCGCAATGAGAATTAAAACCAAAGGCACCCGGTCCTCCTAAAAACACCTGTTTGGCTGTGCTGGTGCAGAACTAACCAGCAGTAAAGGACATGCAAGTTCAACAAAAACCATTTCGTGAGTGTGCCAGTAATGGTGAGGATGCTGCTGGAGACAAATTCCTCCAGTGAAAACTATTAACCCATATCTCAAAAGTGGGCGATGGCCCAAAAAGCCACCTCAGTGTTTCATTTGCAGTGGATTTTGAAGGAGTAAATTTGAGTACCATGTTCCCATCACATTGTTTCTCTCCTGTGGTCGTGCTGTGATGATACACCCCATCATCCTCCGATTTTAGAAATGATAAAGTAGTCCTGGACCTAGGCTGCTTCTGCTATTGGTACCCTGTACTCCTTCACAAGATCCCCGAGTTTCTTCCTGTAGCGTATAAAACATATAAAGTCCTGAGGAACCCTGCTTTAAAATAACAAATTCTCATTTATCTTCTATGTTTAATATTCTTTCCACGACTCCACACCAGCATGCAGCGAAGAAACAGCATATCAATTATCTGCTCTGAGCATTCATTTTCTTTTACAGATATTTCTCTCCGTTACTCATTAATGCACTTCCAAACATCAATTAGGTTATTTATTATAAACCTGCGCATGTTTTGTTTGACTTTTTTCTACCTCCCTTTCATCTCCATCAAAGCTCTTTGTGAAGAGATGCTTTCCAGTCGTTTACCGAGAGCCTCGCTGCCTTGCCTCTTCCCAGTAAAACGCTCTTACTGGCACGCCAGCTCCATTTCTTCTCCGCCAAGTCGGAGCGCCGTCCAGTCGCACGGCCACTGGTTCAGCCTCTTTGGACTGGCTAAATCTCGGTGAAAGGAAGAGGGCTGACTCGAGTCTGTCTACACAGGCAGCCCTCTGGCAGCCCTCTTCTGGACTGGCAGCAAAGTCACAGCAATGCTCCTGGCGAAGCTCAAGATGGAGCTTCCCTTGGTGCGGAGCAGGGAAGTAGCACCAGGGTGTTGCAGCTCAGGTTGCCGAGGCTCGCACCCCATAGCGATACTCCTGGGAAAAGCAGCAAATCTTCACAGCCTTGGGTGATTTTCATAAACTATTATGAAAATTATGAAACTATTCTGTACTTCCCACCTTAAAATAAAAAACGTGTCAGCCTACAGCAAGATAATCCATTATTTAAAAGACAAGGGGCCTGCAGCGCTAAGCGAGTGAGGGACGAAACCCAGGTACGCGTGCTTCCCACCACGAACATTTCCTCAGTTTCCCAGTTGACCGTCTGGTGGCAGAACACGAGCTCATCGCTTTTAGAAATAGCATGGCCGGGCGCTCCGCTGCCAGCCGACGAGGAGGAGCCGCACAGGTTGCTCCCCGCTGCCTTTCGGCCGCTCGCCCTCAGCTGAAGGTGATCGATGGCAGGAGCTGAAAGGCCGTACGCCGAGCCTGACCACGCAGGGCCCCGGCACTCTGATGGGTGTCCTTGCAGCTAACATTCAGCTACGGGGCAGTAGCTGGGGGGGGGGAGGACATTTTAAACGGCCACGACCGCATCTGCAGCAAGCAGTTAGCTCCCGCCTCAGGCGCCATCTGCTTGAACTTTGATTAGTTTTATTTCGAGCACAGGCTGCGATGGTTTTGTCTCTGCTGAAATGCGGTTTTAGCTTCTGCCTTGCTTGCCTGAATGAACAGACACCACAGTACTAGGTGTCACCTGAATGTAAATGGTTTACTTTAAACCAAGTGCTCCCTATTAGAATATTTGTTTGTTTGCCTTCCTCATTGTAATAAATTAAAATCCCCTACAACACAGCGGATGTTGATCTGAATAATATAATTAGCACTAATAATCCGTTTGGGATTGCACAGGTGTTATTCAGAAGACAGAAAGAATGAACAAGTTGTTCGGTGAGCTGCAAAACTAATGAAACCCAGTTTCCCAGGGGCTGTGCCTTGCAAGGCTAGCACATGGACCCAGCCTTCCCCGCAGGAGGGCAACGAGCGGGTCCCTCTCTCCTTTGCTCAGCTATAGCTCTCATGAAATTACAGCAACCTGGTATTTTTGAGACACGTGCTCCCCACCACGAACATTTCCTCAGTTTCCCAGTTGACCGTCTGGTGGCAGAACACGAGCTCATCGCTTTTAGAAATAGCATGGCCGGGCGCTCCGCTGCCAGCCGACGAGGAGGAGCCGCACAGGTTGCTCCCCGCTGCCTTTCGGCCGCTCGCCCTCAGCTGAAGGTGATCGATGGCAGGAGCTGAAAGGCCGTACGCCGAGCCTGACCACGCAGGGCCCCGGCACTCTGATGGGTGTCCTTGCAGCTAACATTCAGCTACGGGGCAGTAGCTGGGGGGGGGAAGGACATTTTAAACGGCCACGACCGCATCTGCAGCAAGCAGTTAGCTCCCGCCTCAGGCGCCATCTGCTTGAACTTTGATTAGTTTTATTTCGAGCACAGGCTGCGATGGTTTTGTCTCTGCTGAAATGCGGTTTTAGCTTCTGCCTTGCTTGCCTGAATGAACAGACACCACAGTACTAGGTGTCACCTGAATGTAAATGGTTTACTTTAAACCAAGTGCTCCCTATTAGAATATTTGTTTGTTTGCCTTCCTCATTGTAATAAATTAAAATCCCCTACAACACAGCGGATGTTGATGACTGAATAATAATTAGCACTAATAATCCGTTTGGGATTGCACAGGTGTTATTCAGAAGACAGAAAGAATGAACAAGTTGTTCGGTGAGCTGCAAAACTAATGAAACCCAGTTTCCCAGGGGCTGTGCCTTGCAAGGCTAGCACATGGACCCAGCCTTCCCCGCAGGAGGGCAAGGAGCAGGTCCCTCTCTCCTTTGCTCAGCTATAGCTCTCATGAAATTACAGCAACCTGGTATTTTTGAGACACTCACAACTCTGTTGCATGTCTCTAGCATTGACCAGCAGCACTGAAAGTTGAAAGGTAGGCAGAAAAAAAAGGTTCAAAGGAAACGGAGCTAAAAAATACATAGGTTCTCTTTTCGTTACCCAGCCACCTATTGTCATGAAACCTGTAGGAACAGAATGTCTTTGAGTTGTCTGTCTTTTTATTCATCACATCTGGAATGGGGGACCATCCCGACAGACACAAGGGGCCGTAGGTCCCCTCCCCTGGCTGCAGCCCCCCAGCACCTAGAGAGAGGGAGTAACCCTGGCACCCTGCGGTGGCACCCGGTGGAGAAAAACGCCCCTCCTCGGGCACAGTCCAGCTGGCCTGTTTCAGATGTCCATGCTGGCAGAGAGGAGTCACAGCCCAGAAGTGCCGATCCCTCTCCCTGGGCTGCCCAGCCTGTCTGGACCGTCAGCGGCGGTGCATCGAGCCCAGTGGATTGTGCCCATCCCTAACCCGAACGCCTGCTGACACAATCCCAAAAGCATCTTTTTTTTTTTTTTTAAGAAACCAGACTAAAATTATTGCTGTGGGGTTTTTTGTCTGCGTTAACAAACCTTGATTAAACTGGTGATCCTCTGCAATTATAGATATCTCACAGATTGAGTCTTCCACGTTTGACCGTATGTGGAAAGCTGGCACTTTTCTGTGTATAACATGCACTTTTCTGAGGCTCCTACGGAAGTTTGTAAATACCCGAGTGAGACAGATAGCAACTTCGTCTGATGCAAATGGCAGAGTTAAAGCTGTGCAGTGTTTTCTGTGAAACATTTTGAGTTAAGCTCTGTTAATTCATTATACAATTACAGATTTCTCCCCTAATTAGTAGAGCAGTTAATGATCTTGAGATAAATACTCTCTGGTGCAGGTCAACTGCTGTTAGTGTCTCATTGTACAAAAACAATAGAAGCTCTGTAATCACAGGGGTCATGGCTAGAGTTATCAACAAATCTGGGGTTAGAGTGGGAAAGGGAAAAAAGCAAAAGAGAAAGTTCCTTGTCTTCTTCCGAAATGGCTCTTACTCTAGTAGACCAGCTAATTGTTGTTGTTGGTAAGTGTATTAATACAAAAAGCACATGAAAAAGAGAACAAAAAGACAGTACTAGATTAATATGCTAAATTTAAGAAGGTGCTGGAAAAAAATTAAAGAATAATAATTTTAAATCAACAGCAATGTATTTTTGTGTGCCACTTTGCAAAGCAAATTCAAATTCAAAACTAAGGCCTGGAAATGGATTTTGTGTCTTATTGAAGTATAAAATGATTATAAAATTATCCGTTATAAAATTCCTTACATTTTTTAATTGAAGAAAATCGAGTTCCTTTCCCTAAGTGTCTTCAAGGAGTTCGCACGTTAATGAAAAGTCTGCCATCAGCGAGCCAGGCAGTTAAAATGAAGCTTTTGGCTAAAATTGTTTTTAATTCCTTTCTGATAAGGATCCTTTTAAAGACTTAAGAGTAGTCCTCACTAACAGAGTTCACGTAAAGAGAATTAGGTTGCGAGACTTGGCGTTTTAAAAAATCCTTCTGTACAGACCCAGGTTAAAGCAGAAATTAGCTGCATCTCATCTAAGCAAGCCTTTGCTACATAGCGTCATTCGACTCCTAAAATCAGGGTACCTGGGACTCTTCAGGTCCGCATTCAGACTAGAACAAGCAGCACCGGACGCCCCTTTGTGTCACTCGCCCTTGTTCCCAAACATCAGAGGTTTCCACTCGTCCATTCCTGGGGTTAATACTTTATACATGGACTAGGCTCTGATGACTTCTCCGCTCTGACTTCTCCCCTTTAACACCAATTAGAAGTAACACAAACTTCCCTTTGGGAGCTTTGACACCATTTTTCTGCTCTGGGGGAGGACCGGGTTGCAGGTGACAGCGCTGCCGTTTGAAGGCAAAAGTGCTGTGGATCACGGCGCCGGAGGCCGAGTGCTCACATCATCTCCTCGGGCAGGCGGGGCAAGCGGCGAGCGCTCGCAGATGCCTCTGCCACCAAAGCGGGCTCTGAGGGCCTCTGCCAGCAGCAACTGCGTGGGCCACCTCAGCAGCCCTCCTTCCCCCCCAAGCAGGGCTGGCCATGAAACTCCCCTCCACCTTGCCACCGCTCTGAGCGGTGACCTCCCAGACTGCACGGGAAAGCCACCCTCTACCTGGTAAATAGAAATAAACCCTCTGAAGTTCCCGTCCTTTCTCACCTACAGGCCATTTACTTGGAGATTTCAGCTTTGCTGAGGGAATGTGAAGGTATTTCATGTATTTAGCTGGTTTAAGGCAAAGCAGTTAGCTGATACAAATCTGACCTGTCACATTTAGATTTCTCTAAGTAGCCAGAAATTTCACTTAACTGTACAGTGCTCTGCTAGCACCAGAGCTCTCCTTAATTCCCTTCTTGTTACCATTTTTGTTTTCCTATTAAAAAGCCAGAAATGGTGTAAGCAGGTGCACCTCCAGGGAGCAGGAAGGCTCCAGCGGCATGCATCAGTGCACCCACTAGCACAGAGCCACTGGAACACCCACAGGAACAGGGCACCATTTTCAAGTCACAGCAAAATTATTATTTTTCTTTTGCCTGGAGACTCACAGCACCGCATGTTTTCAGAGAGGTCTTGGATGCCTTGATTACAGAAAAGCTTACAGACTTTTTGAAGTGTTTTTTTTTTTTTTCTCAAAGACTGTTTTTTACTTTTGGAATATGAGCTCATGCAAAGCAACTATTCCAAAGCCTATTAAAGTAATAATTAACTTTGGTGGACTTTGAATCATACCTGAAAACACCAGATAAAACTAGGAATTTATTGCTGTGTTAGTCCCCTCCGTGCTTATTGAATGATTCCACTTTGTGCCAAGTATTGCTGCTACTGGAGGTTACATTTTCTTCTTGACTCTGATTAGTGATCTCCATTTTGTATTATTATTTAGGATAGCGTTTCTCCCACTGGGCTGAGCTGTTCATTTTACATCACGTATAAAAATAAATTAATGAGTATTTCTTGTAGCTTCACTACTACCCAGCTGTAGAAATCTAGAAAACGTTTATTGTGGTCAGCTGTTGCATGACGCTATAGTAAGTCATCAGCAGAATAAACCATTGCAGCACTGCTATTTCTGTGCGGAAAAAGGAAAGTGTTAGTAAAACACGTCCAGAATATAGAGTTATGCCACACTAAGGGCTCCAAACTACAGGCTAATAAAAATAATGCACTCGCTTGCCATCCAATTAAGATGCTCTTGATATTTTGAAGTAGCATACTCTCAAAAACACTCCTTCTGATAATTCCCTAACAGAACAGGGTCAGTTGTAAGCAGATCACGCTAACTGAGGAAATTTAATGTATGCGCATAAAATTGAAAATAGACAAGATTTATCTCTGCCTAGATGTCAGTATATTACAAACACGTCTTTTATTCCTTTGGCTGTGCTTTACAATCAAGAAACCAATAACGTCTTACAGAACAATGTTCTACTGAGGCCTGTTTGTATTATAATGACTGATTTTTCCCCCTTTTCTTTCGGTTCTCGGCACAGTTCAGCATGTTCCAGACCATCAAGGACCAGCTAGAGCAGCGCACCCGGATCCTGCAGGCCAACATCCGGTGGCAGCAGGAGGAGCTCCAGAAGATACAGGAGCAGCTCTGCCTGGTCCAGGACTCCAGTGTACAGGTGCGTTACTGCTGGGAGGGGCAGAGCAAAGCATCCTCTCTCACATGGCCGTTGATAGGGTTGGCAACTTAAAATTGGCTCAAGAGTCCAGGAAATCTGGACACGTGGAAACCAGCTCATCTGAATGAGGATGTTGCCCTCTGAAAGCCTTTTGAGTAACCTATGTCAAGAAAGATTTAAGAGCTCTCTGGAAGAAAAGAAGTATCTCAACCTTAGGAGGAGAAGAATTTGGGTCATTTACGGTAGCATTTTAATACTTTATCTACTGAGTCTTCAGACTGAGCAGCTGTAATAGAAAAGTGTTCAAGTTCAAACTCGGCAATGATTATGTCTCTCCAGTTCCTTAGCTTCCATCCAGTCACTGCTTGCTTCATGTTGGCATCACTCGTGCTCAGTATCTTGTCTGTCCAGCTCTTCCTTAGCCAACAGCCCTCCTTCAGGCAGTGCTCATCTCGTTCATTCGCTCCCTGTTTTCCTGACCCTACCCCAGCCTGGATACAGAGCACAAGAGATTAATTTCCTTGTCACGCTAAAAAACCCCAAACCTCTGCTGATGTTCATTTGTTCACACCCAGGAGGTGTCTGAATTTGTTCTTCACTGGACTAGCATAAGCCTTTAGGGCGAAGCTGACTGAGCCTGCTCTTCTTCTGCCTTTGATACCTCCTACACAGAGCTAGAATTTACTAAGTACAGTATCTGCTTTTAATTCACCAGGTACAGTATCTGCTTTGTACTATGCCTTATGTCTACCAAACACCGGAACTAGTAGCAAGTGCAGTTCAGTACGTCGCAGGTCTCACTTAACGACAAATGGACAAATCATCCAGTTTTATGGAAATTTTCTGGATGCGGGGTGATTACTGCTCTGTTCCTCAAAATTTAACTATAAATGCCAGGTTAAACGACCCTTGCTAGAAATGTTGCACTGGGGACCCACTGTGAGTATTGTACTAAAAAGATTTTTTTAGAAGACAAGCTCTGTCACAGAAATTAATATCTCAAAGAACATTCTTAAGCACAGGATGAAAACCTGGGACCTGCTGAAGTCAGCGGGAATTTTGCTCCCAACTTCCACAGAAATAGACTCTCACCCATCATCAGCATCTGTGAAATGCAGTTTCACACATTAAAACAAATTGGGATTGTATGTTTAGGCAATTAAGGGATCAGTGAAGCCAAATCAGAAACTTTGCCACCTAAGTTGCTGCATGTGCACTGCTGTAAGACAGCACAGCAGTGGTGGGTCCCAACACCAGGGCTCTCTGTTCCTGGTGCCATATAAGCATATAGGTAGACCAGGTTTAACTTCAGTGCGTTTCTTCTACCGGCTCTGCGCTGACTTTGATTAATGGGAAGGGAAAGTCTCTCTGCAATTAACTGGTCTTCAGTTCCGAATCATGTCATATGTCTGAAAGCTATTATTGTTATTATGAATATCAAGAGACGTGATATTCTCACTTCCTCTCTTTTTAATTGGGTGAAAATCATTACTCTCTCCTGGTGAAGTCTTCAATAGTCACATACACTCATCCTTTTTTTTTTTTTTTTTTTGCATAATTCAGGCAAAAATAGAAGATCAGAGCACATTCTTATATGCAGGAAACGGATTTTATTTTTACATAGCTGTCTCCCATATGCGCTATGGCACATTTAATAACCCAAAGACTGTGGGACAGATTCTCAGATAAGCTCATAGGGAGCTCAAGCAGAGAGAAGAGGAGGCCCAGTGCGTAAATGGTGGGTAGTTCTGTACTGCTCACCCCATACCAATCTGTAGCTCTGAGTTATACCGTTTGGGTGATCCTCTCCCCGACAAAGACTGTACCGGGTTGGAATATATTTTCAGAGGAATATATTTTCAGACCAGTACAAGTTCTCTGATCTTAGTGCTGACCATTTCCCAGCTTACTGCAGATGCAGAAGTGAGAGGCAGGGGGACTGGAGGGCAGCTCGGAAATGCAGGGGCTGCGTATCTGCCTGAAGGGGCAATGCTGGACGGGGAGGTTCGGGTGCCTTTTGCCTGAAGGGGCAATGCTGGACGGGGAGGGTCATCCTCTGTACTTCGGGTGCCTTCCAGTCTCCTCAGGGCAATCTAACAAGGCGATGAGATGTGAGCGGTCACAATGACTCATGGCCAGGGCCTCTTCCTACTCCCACTTTCTCTAGGTTAAAAAAGCCCAAAGAAATTACTGTGCTGTTATAGGGATAGAGCGAGACCAGGAATTAGCTTTGTCTTATTTGGCTAGGGGCAACTTGAAAGAAAGCCTCACACTTTTGCATGCAGCGCTTCTGTGACTCGCAAGCAGCGAGGAGTAAACTCTTAAATCAGAAATCCAACCACGTGCTTTGCCGCACAGACTTCATCGTTCAGAGAGCTGGATGTCTGCAGACATTGATCTGTGTCTATTATCAGAGCTACAAAGCATAGTAGCAAACAGGCGAGCATTACTATCAAGCACATTTCTGGTCTCTTTAATATTCCGCGTAGAAGAGCTGTAAGCATGGGGGAGTGCCTTAGGCTGTCTGAAAAGGGGGAAGTGTTCTCCGGTTTTCCCTCGTTAGCTGATTTATTAGCATATCTTCCCCACTGGTTCACTCCCTTCCACACAGAATTGTACAGGTAGCTCTGCGGAGAATTAAGCCCCATTTCCATTTCCTTCAGAGATCTTCAAAACTGCAGTACGGCAGTCCACCAAGAAATGCTTTCCCAAGCAGACAGATGTTGAGTACGGTAATCTGCGTTAGAAACTATTTCCAAGAGCCTCGTGCGATGAAAGATGAAACTAGCAGGAGGGTCGTGGGCCCTGAACAAAAGTGTTCAAAACTCCGTTAAATCCTTGTTACTGCTTTTCCTGACAAACGGAAGTATGAAGGACAGGAGCAGCAAGAGTAACCTCAGAAGTCTGAAGGATGCTGTGTCTGCTCCAGATTTGAACAGTCTAGCTAATGAATTGCGGATGGGGAGGAAGGCAGAAGGGCTGAGCCTGACCAGCCTGCAAGAACTACAAACGAGACCATCCACAGCCACCCATCATTTGCAAACCAGGCTCCCTTCGAAGCCAGTGACTCTCAGCTTCCCAGCGCTGTGCTTCTCATCTTTCTGTATTTTACATAAAGAAAGAGTCTTGATGTCTGTAATGATGAGCCCGAAGGCTATAATCCCCCGATTATCCAAAGGACAGGTAGAGTCAAAAGAGCCATTTTCCTCACGATGTCTTGCCAACGTGATTGATCCATTAGCTGTAGGGACCATCTATCTCGGAATGAGGGGGCAGCAGTGTCAGAGGGTCCCTCCCCTCCCTCGCTGCTTTGCTGCGTATGTTAACAAGCTGGCCAATTAAAAAATATTTGTAAGATGCTTCACTGACTTTGCAGTCCGCAAAATCAGCCACGAGACATGTCATTAGCAGCAGTGCAGTTAGGGGGCTGCTAATTTATCTACTTGGATTTGCTCAGACTGGGAAAGATTTCATTCTTTATTAGGGGGTTTCTGTTGTTACTTAAAGCTGCCGTATTTCAGTGTTTCAGGGGAATTCAGGCAGGACTATCACAAAAGAGGCACGTTATGAAAAAACACTGGTAAGTTTTGTACGAATGAAGCATGTTCTTGCTTTTAGGCTTAACTAGCAGGTAGAAATTCACGCTTTGATCCTCTCTCAGGTTAACTCCTGTTTTGAAGAGGCATCTTGAGTCTTCCAGTTCTGCGGGGACACGGGTTAAATGGCACCATCGCTTCCTGCCCTGAGCAGGAAAATTGGTTTACTGGGATAAACTTGGCTGTAAATTTATAGCATCTTAGCTGCCAACCATTAACCATGCACATTCCTACCCAGTGGCACACTCTGGTAATTGCGAAGTAGGTTACTCTACTTTCTTTCAAGGATAAGCTCCTTGGCCTTCATCTGGAAGTAAGGCGTGCACACAGGCAGAGTAAGTCATTTGCCGCAAGTTCACGCCCTGCCTGACATTCGCATCGATAGATGTTGACTTTGCAGATATTTCTCCAGCACTGTGCACCACGTACAGGGAGAACACTTAAGATAATCCTACTAAAGGTCTTAATTTGCAGTGGTCTGGCCAGTACCAGTGGGCTCACACTTCCCATCACATTTTTGAATCACACCACTTGCTTTACCTGTTCTGAATTTTATACCAAATGTTATATATAAAATTTTATATCAATGGCGACCAGTTTCATTGCTAGAGCTGATCAAGTGAGTTCATTTACAAAACATGTCCAAAGCTTAGCTTCTATTTACAGAAAATAAACAAGAAAATGCATTTTCATAATTTCTGTCTTTCATTTATTCATAATAAGACCTATTTACTTGGCAGAAGTTGCAAGACCATCTGTCTTTCTGATATGTAATGGCTCCAAACTCAGTGAGCAGTGTTTTTAAAAGAAAACACTCAGAGCTAGTTTCAGACCTGCTGTGAGCAGCCCCAACTCTGTTACTTGACCCATTTATTTCTATCAGACGTCTTGGAGATGTGGTTAGCCTACAGCACCTGAAACAAGCCGTTGCTTTAGGTCCATTAACATTTTGATTAATTGCCCTCCTCTCTCAGCTGATGAATGTAAGCTTTGTCTGTACCTTTTTTCTGAGTAAAATCTTGGCACGCAGAAATTCATTAAAAATTTATCATATTTAAATAAAAACTATGTTTTAAAAGCTAGATAAATAAGTACAAATATGATGGATCAACCCATACTTATGCAAAGAAAAGCAATGCATTGTGCCAGTCCTTTGGAGAAAGGTACAGGTTTTTTCTGAGAAAAATCAGAGGGGACATAATAGTTGAGGGAATTGTTAATATAGCAATAAGCTGCAGAAAGGTGTACTAATTACTGGGCGTACCTCAGATGTATTGCTAGGCATGAGACTGATGGATGAATAATGAAGAGAATAATTGTGATTCTGATTTCATTTAAACCCTAAGTAGCGCCGCTTCAATTAATGGAGTTCCACACGTGTAGCAGTGGTGTGGAATCAGAATCAGATCCAAAAATGCCTTCAACTACCTGGGATGCGTACCTCTGTACAGTCCTTGGTGGCGAGAGGCTAGGTTTGAAATATTGCAAAGATAGCTTGTAGCATTAATAATTCATAGTTGTAAAAGATGCCTTTTTCCTCTGTACAGCTATAATAAAAGAAATAGCCCCTAGAAAAGCAAAAATGCCCAAGCCCTACAACTTTTAAAGAAGAAAGCCTCATCTTGCAATGCAGGCATGGAGAGTATATTGTTTACAGAAACACTACCAGAGGAGCTGCTAGCTTTTTTGCACAAGCCAAATGTACGGCACAGTTAGGAAGAACACCGGCTGACAGTTACCTGATGGGAAATCAGATAAATGACGGTGACTGTCTGTTTACACATCTTCCCAATGATAAGGACACAGCCATTCAACACGGACAGTTCTGGCCTGACTGTGGCCTCATTAAAAACATTCGACAACCCAACTGTATGTAAGGCGTTGAATTTCCAGAGACAAATTCAAAAGCAGCCCTGTCTGAAAGGCAGGCTGATTTTGTTGAAAGGAGAAATGAAAGGACTGAAAAGACATGGAGCTACTCTCTCCTCTCTGGTCAGGATGCCCCAGAACACGGAACTGCTTTTACGAGGGCTGTGCCTGCCCCACGGAAACAGGGTTTGTACCTTCAGGACACATTTCACGAGTAATGAGTGCACTCGCAGAACAAGAAATCAAGAAACTAGAGACAGCAGAACTGTTAATGTAGAAAAGATAGGTAATTTCCAACTAACAGTAAATGTATAGCAAATCCAGAAACGTGATTAACTTTATTTTAGAATATAACTTTGGATTTAATTGTCACCTTCATTATCCAAGACAGCTGGGCTATGTAAATAAACCCTCCCCCCCTTCTTTTCCAGATGTTCCTACAGCAGCCGACGGTGTCCCTGAGCTTTAGCAATACTCAGCAGCCGGAGCCACAACAGCTACAGCTGAGGTCAGGGGCCATTTCTCAGCAGCAGCTTGTCCCCAGTCCTCAACTTCAAGGGCAAATTGCATCTTCCCAAACAGCGAACCAGCAAGCACTGAGAGAAGCAAGCGTGATATCGAGCCAGGTAATCATTTCTTTGGATACAGAAGCATTTATATGGAAAGAAGACACTGAGCTGTTATTAAACAAGCAAGTAAAATCGTATCAGTCCTGTAAGTGTGCCTTTGCCTTTCCTTCCCTATTCTCCTATATAAGGGCAGTCTATATAAAGGGTCTCCCTACAGCATTTACTTTACCTTAAATCCCTTTTTTAAGACCTCAGCCGGGAGGGTTGCTTAAGCAGCTGTTTCAGCTTGAAAACTAAGCAGGGGGGCATGCAAAAGGTGCAGATGACTTGCTGTTCTTCAGCTGATCCCGAAAGAAACCTGACCGACCACACTGGAAACTAGCAATAGTGGTGTCGGCAGTGCGACCTCTCAAAATAAGCTTTACCCCCGCTTGCTCCCTGAAGCCAGTCGGACGCCACCAACACAACAAAGCCTGTCTGCTGTGGTGGCACACAGTTGGAATACGTTGAGATTTGTGTGAGACCCCCAGGTTGTGAGCGTAACAGATGCCTGCACGGGAAATAAAGTTCAGCCTCAGTCAGTAGTAACTGAGACCTGTGAAAGCTAGTAGGTTTGGCACGGGGTTTTTTTTCTTATTGCTGGTTTCTCGGCATTTCCAGTTTTTGCTCTTCCACTCACCTGTCGTACCTCCCTTCCCAGAAAACTTAGCTCCTATTTCTGCTACCTGAGTGTGCGGCAAACAGAGCTGCATTGTTATCTTCAGACCCCTCAGCTGTAGCTTTTAACCTCCCACATACCTGTATTATAATGACTCTATTGAAATAAAAAGTGTATCCGTATTACAAATAGAAAAAAAACCCACCATTTTTTTCTTCAGTAAGGTTTATTCCCATCATTGGGCTTTTACGGCGGGGCTAATCGCACCTAACTTCGCTCGGGCCTTCCCGGGGCGTCGTTTGCCGCCTCAGCTGCTTGAGGGCACGGCCGTCCCACATACCTGTATTATAATGACTCTATTGAAATAAAAAGTGTATCCGTATTACAAATAGAAAAAAAACCCACCATTTTTTTCTTCAGTAAGGTTTATTCCCATCATTGGGCTTTTACGGCGGGGCTAATCGCACCTAACTTCGCTCGGGCCTTCCCGGGGCGTCGTTTGCCGCCTCAGCTGCTTGAGGGCACGGCCGGGGCGGCTTCGCTTTCGCAGCGCGCTGCTCCCGAGGGTTTTGCAGGCCGGCAGAACAAAGCGCGGGGCAGCAGCGGGTGCGAAAGGCGCGG